TTTTTTTTTTTTTTGTTTTTTGACAAGGTAGTGGAGTTGCTAAACAGAGAAGGCGGCGTCAAATGTTTTTGACGGATCTGTAGTCAACTTCAGTGGAGAACTGTGCATCATTTTTTTTTTTTTTTGTTCTTTTGCTTTTTGTTCTGGCTCAAGCTGATTCACTACGTTAGAAAAATCAGATTTGCTGAAAAAAATTTTTTTATTTTTGCAAACGAGTGGAATTAATAGCAGTATCGACATCATCATAGATCATTCATGCGTAGATGTTGTGGCTATTTTAAGGATTATTAGAAAATTTTCAGTATTTCAGTTTCTCGAATCCAACCGTGTTATCGTTATTACTTGGAATCTGTATAAAGTTGACGAAGTCGGAACTTTTGTTCTTCTAAATAAGTGATACATTCAAAGATTTAAAAAAGTTTTTTTTAATCTTATTTTCTGATTGGCCAATTTCATTTCTTGATTGTTATTTATTAGATTTTCATTGAAGAAAAAGGAGTGAACCAATTTCTTTTCTGGAACAACTGCAGATGACAATTTTTTTTGAGGATTCAGATTCTTGTTTGTCTTCTTCTGTGCTTTTATAAAATTAAGTCTTTTTTCTTTACCATGAGGGTTCTCCTGCAACCTTTTTGTATTCGGCATGTGTTTGGCAAGTAATAAAGGCTGCGGTTTTGTAGGACCAAATTTTCAAAAATGGTCAGTAAATTTACTTGATGCATAATTCTTATATGGCTAATTTTTTTTTTCTTTTCTGCTGTTTGTTATATGGTATGCGTGCGTCGTCGTCCTTATCGTCGCTTACATTTATCAATGGGATTTTTGGAAGTACTTTATAGGTAGTTTGCTTTCAGCATGTTCAAACGAAAGCAGAGTAATTCAGCAGGAAATGATGATCAAGCTACTACGTGTGTTATATGTCTTGGGGTAGTTTTTTGATTTGCCATTTTGATTAATAAATTGCTTTTTCTGTTTATTTTCTTATTGTTATAAATAGTTTTTGTGCTGGAATTTGTGGAAGTTATAGTTATATTTGTTCTTTTACGCAAGAGAAAGTTGTTTTTGTAGGCCCCCAAATTTCCAACGGGACGACCGGATGAATGCAAACATACCTTTTGTTTCCTGTGTATAAACGATTGGGTAAAGGTTTGTTTTACCGGCTTCTTTTCCGGGTGCAAAATACTCATGCTGATTTCTCTTCTCTTGTTAGAAATTTTATTAATAATCCTTTTTAGAGACGCTCCGAATGCCCTTTATGCAAAACCAAAATTAAGTTTATCATCAAAACGACGATATCTGGTGTTGAAACGAAGGTGAAAGTGAAACAGCGGACTGAAGCACAATTCTCTCGTGAAGTAAAAGTTACTTTCTGGTTCAGTCTACTTTATTTCCTCATTTTGTGCTTTACGTAACTTATTACAGTATTTCCTCTTCTTCCTGGTGGTCTGAAATTAGTGGTTTTGATATTCTCTTAGTTCGGTTTTTATCTGGGATTATACTTCCAGTTAGCTAGTGCCTATGAGGAAGATGGAAATCAGGAAGAAGTAGATATCACGATTGCATTTGCTGTATGTCGAGTTTGCCACCGATCGGACAACGCAGACCGTCTGTTATTGTGTGATGGCTCTGTGGGACGAGAAATAGATGGCTCAATTATACGTTGCAACGCTGCGTAATAGCTTTTTACTTTGAGAATGGTATTGTATTAGTTTATTATGTATTTAAAGATTTGAAGGTTACTACTTTAGGTATCATTGCTACTGCCTTCCTGAACCGCTCAGTGACGTTCCACGTGGGAGGTGGTATTGTCCCTTTTGTGTTGACATGAGAGTAAGAAAAGTTTTTGTGTTGCACTGACAGAAATGAGTTCCTTCATGTTAGATATTTTGCCTTTTTTAGGAAACTCAGCGCGGTGTTTATAATCGTCGTTACGCAGAAACGACAGAGTCGTCAAACAGGTCTCGCCCGTCTACATCGCATCTGATTGATTTGACGCAAGCAGATCTACCAGGTTGTTTCTTCAACATCTGTCCCATGCTTTGTTTGCGGAGGTCACTTTTTCATCTGATATGTTGTTGCTTAGGTCCCAGCGGTGTTCAGCGTCATCCGAACACGAGACGTATTGTTGTAAATGATGAAGAGAGTTTTTCTGAAGAGATGTCTTCCGAAGAAGACAGTCATGAAAGCAGCGATGACCAGTTGCCTGATGAGGAGTCTGAAGCTTCTTTCACGCCGGAGAACGAAGGTTTGTTTACATTTTTTTGAATATGAAATGTCCTTCTGTAAATTTTTTCTTTTCAGATAATAAGCAAATGGCAAGGAATTAGGCTAGTTTATTTCGTTTTATGTAGAACCTTCCTATTAACTTTTGCTGTTACTTGGTGCTTTGTAAGAAAACGAAGTACTTTACGTTGTTCAGATAGCCAAATTATATTTAAGGCAACTTTTTAGAGTCATCTGAATGTGAAGACGAAGAAGATTGGGAAAGCATTGATCGTTATGTTTTGAGTAGTCCACATGCAAGTAACGTTTCCTCTAGTCCAAGAACTGCTGTAAGAAGGAGGAGGGTAAAAAAAAAGAAGCCCACCAAGCGAAGAGTTACAAAAGGGAAAAATAACGCGCCTAAAAGAAAGAAGACTAGTAAAAAGAAAGGGGGTGTGAAGAGAAGGAAAAAAACGAAAACACAGAAACGGAAAACGGTATTGCATTGTTTATGATTTTAATTCTAAATTAGTTCAAGAGTATTTTTTCTTTTTTCGGATCTAGTGCTTTCTTTTCATATTATTACTACTACTGTTACTATCACTACCACTATTACTATTACTATTATTAATTACCGTTATTATTACTATTGTTATCATTACTATCGTTATTACTATTACTGTTGCTATTAATATTAGTATTACTATTACTACCACCATTACTATTATTATTATTTTTTATTATTATTTACTTATTATTATTATTGTTATTATTATTATTATTAATAATTATTGTTATTGTTATTACTATTATTGTCGCTGTCAAATATTAATTAATTAATTCTTTTTAAATTAGAGCAGTCAAGTATATTTTTTGTTTTTTTACTCTGGGTTTTAAGGGTATATCTCGGGGTCAGAGGACATTAGCGATGGTGCTTGGTATCAATCCTGAGATCGGTGGAAGGCCGAGGGATGCCAGGTAAGCTGTCGGATGATTTTTAACTTATTGGGCAGTATAAGTGATAGTAATATGTAGTGCTGAAGAAGAGGAACTGCAGTTACTTGGATTGGCACAAGAAAAAAAAAAGACTTTTTGATGTAGGTTTTTCTTATGAAAAAACTTTGTAATTTTTATGTTAAACGATATTTGTGAGTGGAGGACGGTGGGAGTGCCAAGAACAGTAGAAAGGTAGGTCTAAAAGCTGTGTTGGATGGGAATGGAAACAATTTAGGGAAATGGGAAGTTGGGGAAAAAAAATGGGAAAATTCTGAAATTTGTGTCAGTGGACAAAAGTAGAGGGGAGCTAGTTTGGTGGAAGAGGGGACAGGAATTCTTTAATAAAAAAAGATAACTTGACAGAAGACATTGAAAAAATTATGACTGATTTAGTTAATTGATAAAAGGGCCTATGAAATTTAAACTGTACAAGTTGGCTAAAGAGCGAATTGTGCGACAAGACCGATCTGGTATTACGATTTCTCTCTGTTGGTATGGATTTATCGAACTACAGCAATTATGAGAGACTGTTTTGCGTTTCCACAAACTTAGTAGAACTTACCATACATAGGCTTAACATCTTTGATCATACTCGCCTCTCAGGCATGTAGTCTTTAGACGGAATTCTTTTAGGTGTTTTGGCTTTTAGAAAAATTTTGAGATGTAGTCATGGATTAAAGTGTTTCAAGTTTTGTTTTACTTTGGTAATTGTGAAAGTTCTTACAAAAGTGCTGCATAATGGGTTCTTTCACAAAGTTTGGCTGCGACAGTCATTCTTCTGTCGTTCAAAAATGAACTCTGTGAGTATACTACTTATAGTTAGATTGGAAGTGGTTAGAAAGTAGTTGTGGTGGGACCTCTAATTTTTAAGGGTGAGTTACTTTTGATTTTTTTAAATGCTTTTTTTTTAACGTGGTTATTTGACTTCTTTGTTTTTAAGTCTTTTGCTGTTTAGGTATCCAGCAGATGGGATAGTTCGAGGGAGATTCGGCGCTCCAGCTCTTTCCCTGCTTAGTGGAGAGTACGATGAGCTTCCAGTGCCAGAAGAGTAATTATTCTGTTTTGGATCTAAAGGTGTATTCTGTTTATTTTCTTATTTAGTTGGGGTAATTTTCAGAGAAGATGGTCTAAAGACAAATACGGTAGCAACGAAAGAAGAGAAAAGGTGTGGTTTTTCTTAAGTTACTTATTTGTAATTGTTCTTTCGCACTTTTATTTTAGGGACGTAGGTGGGGATCTGATTGGTTCGATAATGTTCGAACAGACAAAAACCCTTGCTCCAGCACGATTTCAGAAGGTGGCTCGCGACGGCAAAATTCTTGAAACTGAATTGATGGTTGAACATAGAAAAAAAGTAGAAAAGAAAATTTCTGGAAATCAGGCTTTTGCAGCTCCCAAAGTAAGTAATTGTTGATGTTGTTTTGTTTTAGGCGGTTTAGAAGCAACTGACACATAGAAATGAATAAGAAGCATTGATTTCGTAGAGCAAATACTGTTGTTTGGTGGTTTTGTTGTTTTCCAAGATATAAGTGAATTTGTTCTTGTGAATTTGTTATTATTTCAATTTTCTATTCTTATTAGATTTTTATTGTAGGTTATTTCTTTGCTTTCATTGTTAATGGCAGTTTTTAGGGCGTCGGTTATCTGGAGTGAGATGTGGAACTTTTAGTTTATCTTGTTTTGTGTCTTCACTTATAGCTATTCTTTCTTCACTTTTACCTGCCTTCCATTAAATTTCTTCTTATCGTTTGGGTGAGGGTTATCAAAACGTGGTCTTTGCTCTTTCAACTTGCTTCACTACAAAAATTGTTTGCATTTCTATCTTTCGACTAGATATACATTATTACCACTTGTAATAACTATTTATCTTTCTTTTAGTAAGGTTGGTAAATGCATGTTACATTTGGAGTGTTGATATGTTGCTGCTATGTTTTTTATCTTTTTCTAGCTCATGGCCGGAAATTTTTTTAGAATTCGGGGTCATCGAGATGATTTCTGAACGAGGTGGTGTCTAAGAGTTACAGTGTTTCTCCAACATCCGGAACTTGGAGCTTTTGGATATGATTTCGAGTCTAAAATGATGCAGTTCGAGAGAAGTTTATAATTACAGGACCATGATTTAAGTTTTTTACTGGGTTGTTGTTGTTTATAATGGAACTAACATGAATTCTTGTGCGTTATTTTATCAGACCTCAGTCATGTTTTAGGGTTTGATTTTTGAAGCATAGATAAGGAAACAATGGATTTTTTCAAAATTGGTTCAGCCTTGATTTTTTCCAGCGAAAAGAGGAATCTTATTTCTGTTTATTGTTGACTAAAATTTGTTAGAAACAATTAGAGGGTTTTTTACTATTTATTGTTTAAAACATTTGGGACATATGCTTTAGTTTCGAAGTTTTGGTCATGGTCGAGATACTTTCTTTGTGGAGTCTTTGCTAACTCATGAATACTTTTAAAATCTTTAGATAGAGGATTCTGTCATATATTGTGGAAATTTATTTTGTTTACTTTACATCATATGACCATTTATAGGTGTTACTGTTTTATATGCCATGCTCTGTTCGTTCCTTGATTAATCTTCATTTTGAATACGTTTTTATATAAAATGGGATTTTGGCTGCACAGTTATTACTTTTTTAAGACTGGTTACTTGATAGTTGGACCAGGCAATTATTTCAAACGTATATTGATTTTGTGGCTATTATTTCTTCTCAGATCTACGGACAACTTACTGGTATGCTTTTGTGTATAACCATTCTAGTGGCATCTTAAGTGTAGATGTTACGCTGATACAACTTGTAAGAAGGCCTTGCCTGATTAAGTAAGTTTTGAAAAGATGTAAGAAGTAACACTTGGACAAAGGGGTTTCTGTTTATTATCAAAAGTTCCTAATTTGTTTGTGTAAATTCTTTTTTTACAGGACATTGAGGGTAATGAGGTGACGTCAACTTTTTTGTAGACGAATCTTATCTTATATCTTTTTAGTTCGACTGCTCGCAGTTTTTGTGTGTCTACTCTTGTATACGTTTTCAATTACGCTGTTTCATTTCCAGTTCTAGAGTTAGTTGTTAGTTATAAGTGCTGTCTTCTTATTTGTTTTGTTTACTTGGTTGAGTTTCTGAATTTTTAAGTTGCCGCTGACCTTTATATTGGTTTTTGTGTCTATTATCTTCTTGTCTTTTGATTATGGTCTTTGATGGTGAATGTTGGGAGAGAAGCGCTTTGTAGATTTTCGATTTGCCGTATTTGCTAATTGTTACTTGCCGTTGTTTCATTTTCTGTAGATTATTTTTATGTATATGTTTACTTACAGGTAATGAATGCACCTAATACTGCTAGCAAGTCGGATGACCATAGTAACAGATTCAATAACCGAAAGAATCGGCCATCCAGATGGGGTTCACCTACGCCTACGGGCGACCATAACTCTGCTACTAATACAGCATCTATACCTTTACCCACGGGACCTCCTATGCCGCAGAAAACTCCATTAGATTTTATACCGGTTCCTCAGTCCAGTGTGGTCAGACCTCCGATTACTTCACCGATAAATCTCAATAATAGGCCTTCCGCTTTAAACAGTAAGGGGTTCTTAATATTTCACTTTGAATTCTGAGGCCATCTAGTTGATTGAAATATAGTATTTCAAAGTTGGTTTGATCTTTTTTAGCGTCACCGTCAACGTCATTTGCGATAAATGCCTTTGCTTCTCCGCTTCCTCCATTCGGTATGAATGCAAATACTTTAAGCACGCAACCAGCGGTACCGCAATTGGGTACTCTTTCGGTTCCTCAGTTGCCGTTATCACCGCAGCTTTTTCCTGGTATACTCATGCAACCACCGCTAACGCTTGGTTCAGGTAGTACTTCTGGCTTACTTTGTGATGACCATTATTTCTTCCCTGAAAAAATGCAAATAGGATGTTGCCAAATTTTATTACTTTTTCAGATGCAAATACTTTTTTTTTGAAGTTTAAAGTCACTGTTTTAGTTCTTTGTTTTGTTTTCTATGTTACAATATGGTGATTTTGTTAAAGAAACTTGTAAAATGTTTGTTTTGATTGGTTTTTACCTTAGAGTTTGATTTATTTTTAGTTAATGACTTGCTAGCAGCTGGTTTGATAGGGAATGCCGCACTAACGGCGCCGCCCGTCTCTCAAGCTCCTTCCTTCGTTCTTGGTCAGGTTGGCAATCAAAGTCAGGACTTGACTCAACATCTCGCGAATCTTGCGTCATCGCTGCACCCTTTGAATGCACATCCTCCAAGATTACCTGTGAGTGGTGTGCCTCCGCCTCCCCCGACCGTCTCGAACGGCAAACCGGACGTTGATCTTTCTATATCGAAGCCGTTGGCAGAAAAAATAAGGCAAATTGCCGAAGGCGCAGAGCTTCGCCCGCTAGTTGAAGTCAGCTTTTCTTATAAGCTATTTGTTTTTATATGCAGTTTATTTCATTGAAATGCCCTCACTTGATTCTCGCTCTGTAATCATTATATTTGTGTTACGGTAGTTTACAATGACCCTATCTTATCAATGAATTTTCCAGAGTGAGCGAACCAATGTGAAGAAAGAGGAACAGAAAGGAGTTGATGAGTTGAAACATAATGAGTCAGGTCGGAAGAGTGCTAGTGCGGAAGAAGAAGAAGAAACTAGTGATGCGGACGTCAAAGTTACTACTTCAAAAGGACCAATGTTTGATCAAGCTCGTCAGATGCTATCTACTTCTTTAAAAAAAATTTTCAAGTGAGCAGATATATAGGCTTTTTTTCATTTTTTGGTTTTGTTTCAGCTTATACATTCGTTACTCGTTGATTTAAATGTTGCAGGAAAAGGTTAATAACAAAAGATGAGTATAAAATGATTATGAAGAAAGGCGTGACGGCGCTTTCACAGAGGACAAGGCTCAATCAGGCTAAAGTCGATGACTACGCAAATAAATACGTTCAATGTGTCATCCATAGAAGAAAGAAAAAACGTTAATTTTGATTGTTAATTCATTTGTTGAAATTGTTCAGCAGCTTGATTTATACTGGTTCATTCTTTTAACTTGGGCATTACTATTTTTTATTTATAGTTTTGTTTCTTGACGGTGTTCGACGTGTGTTGGGATGTTTTGAAACTCATGTAGGGGATGATATTTTCTATTTACTTATCTGGTGCTGTGCTGTGATTTTTGCCTGTTCTTGTTTTAGTTCAGCGCTTTTTTCGGCTCCTCCATTACTTATTATTAACTTGATTTCTGTATCTGCCATGTACTTTTCAAAGGAGTTCGATTTAGTTACCATTGTAAATTTTGTATATATTCAGCCTTGTGATTAATAAGTTACTAATAAGTTCCCATGTTTTATTTTGAATTGTGGGTTTTTTTTTGTGTTGTATATTCTTAGTGGAGGGTTTAACTGAATAAATTGAAAATGTTGGCATTTTATGACCGAATTTCGGTTTAGTTAGGCGTTCAGCAAAGATTTTTTCTGAATTACGAATTATGAAGGGGTGGTTGATATGGAGGCTCACAAGCCACAAATTACCGCAGATACCTTGTTTTGAGATTCTCAACAAATTGTTTTGTAGGTGTTGAGACTGGAGCTTTTTTAAGTTTTGTATTTTATCCTTTTTTTTTTTTCTAAATTTAATACTGATAATTTTGTGTGCGTTGGTGAAGCTTGTTACACTTGTTCCTACAATTTAACCGTTGTCTATGCAAGCTTTTTTGAAATAAAAGTGTTGTGTTTTGTACATTTCTCAGTATGGAATCAACTGTTACTTAACCACAATATTCTAGGAGCAATTCGATGTGTGAGTAAACGATGTTTGTTTTTTTATTGGAGTTTGTGGTTTGAGCTTTTTGAGTTATTTACTGATGGATGGGTTGTTCAAGCGTCTATTTTGTCCACTTCTTGTGTTCAATGTTTGTAACTAGAGAAATTATCGGGCGCACTGCAAAATAAAAGAAGGATCTAAGCTGGCTTGCCAGTAAGAGGTGCAGATTTTAGGCTTTGCGTGATTCCGTCATTTCTCGTTGACACTGCGATATCAGTAATGGTGGAACGTTGTGTAGGCGGACTGTTGGGCTGTCAAATGACGTAAAAGCTATTGCAGTTATAATTTATCTAGCGGTCCATTTAACAGTATTATATGCCTACCGATAGGGCATCTCCAACTGTTTTTTTTTCTTCTACTTCTTAGAGTTCAGAATTGATATAATTTTGCCTAAACATTCAGTTTCATATGTACTTCGTTATTCATTTAAATATGAAGGAGGACATTTGAATTGGATATGTTACCAAAACCTGATTTTTTTTTTTTCTTGGCTAAGTACTTGTTTGACTTTTTTACTTCACATTTTTCCCGTAATCTATGTGTAGTAAAAAAGTTTCAACGATTATTTAGTTTTATTTTTGTGTATTTGTGTACGGATGCTTTTTTGTTTTATTTTTTTTTTATTTCTCACCGTACATATGCATACTGAAGTTTGAGATTACTTATGTTTTTATTTGACAGGTTGTAAAATTGTATGAGCTGAGTTGGAATTCTTTCTCTAAAACTTGACTGAATTTTCGCTTTTTTTTACCAGCGATTTGGTCACCTTTTACACGGTTTTTTTTTTTTTTTTCGCTTCTGATGCTGTTCTATTTATTTGGAACATTGTACTGTAGACAAGATGCAAAAGCTGAAGAACTTATTTGTTCAAAAGCCAATATTTGATTTTTACAAAAGTTTTTCCTGTCTGTTTAACTGCAGTTAAACAGTAGTCATTGGAATAGACCGATATGTTTCGCACCAATAAGGAACAGACTGTTTGCCTGTAACTAAGAAATAAATTAATCGTTGACTATAAGCTTGTTTTAGCCGTTTTCACCAATTTACTATTTCATTTTAAAAAATTCTAAGTTTCTTTAA